TGTTGTATGCCAGACATTTAAGGAGAAGAGGCCTTTGTGTTTTGGTTAGTCCTTCGTCACACTGACTGCACATGAAAGGCGTATTTGCTGGATAGAGAGGAGCTCTCCTGCCTTGGGATGTAAATGCTTTTTGATTTTCCTTATTGCTTTGCTTTTCCTTTGTGCCCTTGCTCTCTCATGTTACCTCTTCTATGTCTTTTTCATCTTTCACTTAGCTTCCATAGTGCCCAATATACCAAGAATGATGAGATTAATTTCCAGTCCCATGGTGTTCTTACCAACACCCTAATAGGTCTCTGGAAGATCAGAGAAATATGTTTTTCATTCCATGTGCATCGTAAGTTTACTGAGAAACTGTTGTTCTTCTGTCTTAACATTTTCTTCTATTACTTTACTAAAGCTCTTTGGAGGGAATGATCTTAGAAAAGTGAGGGTCAGTTCTCAAACAGAAATGTTCAGTTTATGGTCCAGAATTTCAGGCTTGATTTGATTTCAGGTTTCATGTGGCTGTTCGTGGAAGTGATGAGGGAATACACTGAGCAGAAGCTTTAGGACACACCTCAGTGCTCATTCTGCAACCATTGCTCATCTGAGAAATTTATTTAATGCAACACTGAAAATAAACCTTGAAAATTTGTCGAAGAGGAGAACATACTATATGGTATGGTGAGCCCAGTCTTTGGCTGGAATTTTGCTTTTTAGGAACAAGGGAGAATTTTTCTGGCAGTCGATGCCCAGGTGGTGAGAAGCTGAGGAGATCCTACCTCTGTGGTCATTACTAAACAGGAGATGTTTAGAATTGCACTGTGCATCAGTCCTCGTGCTGTGTCATCTAACCCTCGCTGGTGCTAGGTACTGCAGTTCTTACTCCAACACAGGCGCTGGGATTTTCCCTCAGAAGTACATGGTTAGTTTAAACAGTGTATTGCTTTTCTTTTTTCTTTATTATCTGCAGTGAAATCCATGTGTCATGTCATGGACTCAAAAGATTTAGTGGACTAAACTTTGAATCAACACCCCATTATATCGTTTGTAAATGTAAAGGGTTTCTTTGCTGAGGAGTCCTCTTGTTTCCTGCTCTGCCTGCACAAATGAAGACAGTGTCTTTTTTAATTATGAGATGATTGAAAACTTCTTGATTAGCCAAACGTGTTATTTAGTTCAACTGCTAATCCATTCCCGTTTCAAGAATATGCATGTGAAGTGTATAGGCCTTCAGCTGCTTACTGAGAGCCAAGTTATAGACCAGGCTTGCGCACTGTTTATATTGGAAGCACCACTAAAGCTGACTGTACAAATCTGGCCAGGCACCATTATAATTGCTAAATATTTTTGTTACCAGACTACATAATTTGGTATTAAATCTAGAGAGAGAAAAAAGTACTTGGATTTAGGGTGCTGTAGACTTTATAGACATGGTATATTGTTCCAGGTGATCACTGAGTATTGCTTGGGTGTTTCTTTTCCTGTTCTGTGAGATCCTGGGTATGAAAAGCTGATTCTATTAGAAATAATCCATTGAGCTTTACTAATTTGATGAATGGTGCCTGTTAATGACTCTCTTTCTTGTTTGTGTTTAAAACAATGCAGGTAATAAAGCATAAAGACAGACCCTCTGAAAGGAAGGCATTCTTTCCATTTGAGAGATGCAAACTGATAATATGTGGTAAAAACTCCTGTTGCCAGTTTTTCTACCCGAGACAAGACAGGACAGGCCAAGAACTGAAGTATTTCAAGACCATATTTCTTACAGTAGTAAATGATACATTTTAAAAAGTACATTCAGCCTTTATTTACTAGTGGTTTCTCTTAAACACCTAATAGATTTAGTTTTGCTTTTTCTACTGATTTTTAAAGTATGCACTGATTGTTTTCTAGTTAGGGTTTTAATTTTACTGATACTGAGATGAACTAGCTTTCCAAGTCTGCTTTTAAGACCTTTGCAGGTTTACAGGGCTGTATAGCAGCTAAGCATCGTTGGTTACATTTCTGTCCCGAGATGTTTAGTTACAGCTGCTGGCATGGCCTGTGTGTTTATGCAACTGCTGTTACTCTGAGCAAGCTCTTTCCTCTGTGTCCTCTCCTCCTCTCCATTTCTGCAGTACCTATCACCCTTGCGTTGGCCAGGGATGCATCCTCTGGACTTTCCTCAGGTACAGGCGCAGTGCCCCAGAGTTGGGGTTGAATTTTACATCTGGTTCAGGAACCGACTATGAGTGCAAAAATTAAGGGCCGAGATAGGCGCCACTATAAACAGTGTTTGTGTTGGAAACTGTGGGTTCCATGGCTGCTGTACATCTGCCAGATAGCTTTATAACTGCTTACAATTTTTGTTGTCAAATATTATAATCTAGCCTGATGTTCAGTGCATGACACTCGTGGCAGCTAGACCTGCTGCATGTTAGTGGATGTTGCCGTTTTGTTTAGACTTAATATGATGCACTTAAATGATGATTATTGTAGTAATAGTCAGTCTGGGTAAAGGAAGCCAGACCCATGGGTTGAAATAGAAACAGTTTTAATAGAATAATAATAAAACCCAATATTAATAACAGTATTAGCATAAAGTACACAGAGTTATACTCAGCCGATATAGTGGTCGCAAGCTGTGATGGTCGGAATAAACCTTGAAGTTAGAATGATGGGCAAGACCCTCCTGTGACGACAGTCATTGAGGACTGGGCCGTCCCCAGCAAGTGCACCTGGTGAACTCAAAACTGCTGAAGACCACAGCTTCTCCATGGGTGTGTGCAGCGGTGGGTCCTGATGTGGGGAAGAGCGCTGGGGGTGCGGATGCTGGGCTCCCTGGGTCAGGAACAGAGGATGAACCACGGGTGTTTGTTTCTGCTGTGCTCAGGGAAACAGCCTCTGCTTACATTCCTTGCAAGTTAATAGGACTGCACCAGAAAATATACCTGACTTGGATGACCCGTTTCTCCTCCCGCAGTAAACACTCCTTCCTGGCCCAAATTCCGGGTAACTGCTTACACCACAGAGACCAGCTCCATTCAGTGCTGGTGGTGTATGGTGTTGGGTGGTGCACAGCTGGGCCTGGGTGGGAACAGTGGGTCACGTTAACAACATGAAAATGATAGTGGTGTTTGCTCTTTTCTAACGGACTCAAATGTTGAAAGATGTTGAAGGTAACGTTCGGAGAGGTGCCTGAGTTCAAAAGCCAGGTTAGTAGTTCTGAAAATATTATGAGGGATCTTAGTCTAATGCACACAGATACTTACATATCTGATTAATTTGGAGGAATATACATTTGCTTAACAGTCAAGCATGTGTTTTGTTTTTGTAAATTGTCACAGACAGTCTTTATGTGAAAAATGCTTTTGCTTTGTCACGCAGACCCAGTTGCACAGGTAAAGGTCTCAGCGCTGCCATGGGGCCATGAGAGCACGAGAGCCAGCACCTTCCTGCAAGGGGCCGTTGCACAAACCTGGCAGTGTTTGCAACAACCTGTGAAAACAGCGTTAAAGTCTTTACTAAAATTCCTTTGCTTAAATCAGGTTTTCATTTTAAATCTTCCTTATGTTCTTAGCATTTTTTAAATAAGTAATTATAATTATTTATCATAATTATCCCATGAAGATATGTTTAATACAGGCTGTTTTCGCTCTCAGTTAAAGTTTCCGACAGTTACTAGGGAATCACGTGGGATCATCTGATTCACAGCTGACCTTCAAAAGAGTGTCCAGAGCTGTTTGAAATAATATTTCCTGCTATGTAATCATTGTATAGACTTTTGGTGTTACTCTTGTAAAATAATGTGGGAGATAAAAGAGGTAAATACACCCCCCTTTTTCTAAGTGGGGCAGAAATAACATCTTTAGAGTCTTCAGTGCCACTATCCACAGTCGGGTCATCTGCCTGACGTGAAGCTTTGAGTCGTGCTCGGCGTATTTTGTTTTTCAGAACCCACGTCCTTATCACGTCTGATTAGAGAATGGCTGGTAGCTTGAGAAATGCTGCCATATTTTATTAATGTAGTAGTTGACAGCTGTTAACTAGTGAAACTAGAGATTGGCGTTCCCTTGACTAAAAGGTATGCACCTGATACCAGTCATGGAGAACACAATTAACCTCTAGCCTGTATATATATTGAATTAGCAAACTGGCAGGTAGACTGGGCTACTGGAAATTGGCTGCAATTAAACTTTTGGATGAAGGTGGTTGATTATTTTGCTTATTGCAAAACATACGGGATTTATCCAAGTAAAAGAATACGTATATCTGCATTACTACTCCTAGTTTCTGGGGAACCACCAGTTTCTACCATAGTATTTTGAGGAACAGTTGTAGCAAACTGGTATGCACCTCTTGGACTTGCTCATGCCCCAGCCCTCCCACACCCCTGTTCTTTCCCCGTTAATTAGTGGGAGCAGATAATGCTCTTGGCATTGAGTCTTCATCGAGCATCTGTGTGGTAATTGATAGAGGATACTTTGCAGGGGGTATTCTGGGCACAGTTATCTGCTGGGTGAAAGAATATTCATTATTAAAAGAGTGAAAATCTGTTAAAGTGAACATGAGCAGTGCCAGGAAACTAAAGCAACTGTTGCATTTTATGGTGGCGTTGCTTGTCCTCCATAAACTGCATGTGATGGTGCCAGTATTTCTTGTCTGTGTGGTATTTTAGCTATGCTAGCTGTATTTTGGAGAAGTTGTGGGGGTTTTGCTCTTTAATGAACTGTGATGTTATTAGTCTTTATGAAAAGATGTTCAACAGGACACCCTGTTGTGCTTATGTGACATTATAGAATGAAAAGCAAATCAATCAAATTCAGTAAGCCAGTTTTTCATATGAGATAAAAACATTGCTGCAGCAGTATAACCAACTCTTTTGAAAACAAATATTTGATAGTGTTTCTATGGTGAGATTTTCTGTTTATTGGGAAAGTGTGGGGTTTCTTGTTTTTTAAAATGAAGATGAATTTATGCACTTATTTGGTCTGGTGAATTATTTATCTGATGTTACGTGTACTTTTCTCTTTCAGGAAATCCATGACTTATTTAAAGATTATGAGATCAAGTATTGCTATGTGGACAGAAATAAAAGAACAGGTAAGAACTTAACATCTTCCAGTGCCATACATTTCAGTTCTGTGATGAAACTAGCAAGGAACATCATCTGCCGTGTATGAATTCATCGACTTCTCTGCCATCACATAGCCCATTGTCCCTCCGTGCGTTTTTTGGCTGCATAATTTGTCACCTTCTGCTGAAGCCAATGGAGAGTTGGAAATGTTCCTGGTGTCAAGCAGAAGTAGATTGATCCGCTGTGGTATCTCTCAGGCATATTCCCTTAGTGAGTGTCTCTTAGGGACAAAGCTAACCTCAACTGTCTGATTTCCCTTGAAAAACTGGTCCCGAGGCCTCTCTTAGGACAAACCACATGTGCTTATTATGTGGTCAGAGGAAAACGTACCCAGCTCCAGATACGTTTGTGTCAGGTAGTATAAGCCAGAAGCGGTATATTAAAGGAATACTTCAGTCTTCTAAGGAAATGCTGTCTTGAATTAAATCCTGAATTATTTAAGTCTGATCTTCCATTTACAAATTAATTCTCTAAATAGAGGATTCATGGACTTTTAGTGCTTGAGAGGTGCAGACATGGACAAATACCTCTCTACACGTTCCTGCCCTTCCAGGTCACCACAGGTCCCAGAGCCTGGGCTGTCTCCTGAGGCAACCTTGCTTTCCAGGACAAAATCCTAATGCGATAGCTGTGATAGGTTTCTGTCTGGATTTCATGAGGATAATGGTGTTTCTTGATGCCTGCCGCTAAGGAGCAAAAATTTGTGCTTTAGTTTGTCCCATTATCTTTCAAAAATGATTTCTTAAGATTGAATAAGGCCAGTTTGTGTATGAGGTTCTATAGTCTGCTAACAACGGACTGAATGTCTGAGGTCTGTGTGAAGGGAAATATTTGAAAATACTTGGAAGTGAAGGATATTTTTTATTGCTTGTTTAATGTAGATGATCTCACATGTAGCTAGGTTTTGACTGTGTATGTATTTGTGTGGTTTTTAGAGTGTATACATATTTGTGTCTGTGTATATGGAGATACATTTAGTACTCTGCCTATTGATGTGGATTTTTGTACGTTTTACTGCATGCCTCTGAAGATTTTCATGACTGGAATACACTGTAGGTGGTTTCTTCTTTCGATAGATTAAATTACTTTTATCTCCAGATTCATGAAGGTTTTAAAACCGTGTCACCAACCCCTTTGTGACATGGACCACCGGGAGCAGTCTGGTGGCTGTGGTGTGGCTGTGGTGTGGCCATGACATCCCCAGAGCTTGGTGCTTCATCCATGTAATACAGCTTTTCCAGCAGTCAAATGAGAAGACACAATAAAATAGAAACCAAGAATCAATAGTGCTGGGGAAGGAAATGAAGTGGCTGTAGGATCAATGTTAAGAGCAGTAGCTCAGCAACGGTTTGAAGGGAAATAAAAGTAGCAGGTCCTACCCTCTGCACTGTTTTAAAGATTTGGGTGGTCCTTGCTGCTGAAATTTGTGGGCTTGAAGGCTATTCTGGTTGAGTTTTCTGCAAGTGATCTTTCAAATTTTATCTTTTTTTAAAGATCAATTAACTCCAAAGTGAAAACTTATGGATGCTGTTTTCAAAGCAATTCAGTAGAATCAGTCATGTGTTTGCTTCAGAATAAAATGTAATTGCATTTTGTTTCCCAAATGTAGCATTTTGTTGTGTTACACACAGCGAGCTTGTGTATATCTGTGTTTCTGTAGTGTCTCGTTGAGTTAATTACTCATCATGTCCAGTTGATAATCCTAGATTTTCAAATTTAAAAATTTTAAATTACAGCGTATCTCTCTAACTACTCCATCCCCAGGGTAAATCCCAAACTCTTATTTTTTTCTGTGCCTTATACTGGTGGGTTTTTGGGGAGGGAAGGGTGTAGTAATTATCTCTGTAGCTGTAGAGGAGCTGTGGTAGGTGACACGAGTTGTTTTGGTCTCTTCCAGCATTCGTTACTCTGTTAAATGGAGAGCAGGCTCAAAGTGCCATTCGGAAGTTTCACCAGTATCCTCTTCGGGGAAAAGAGATATCCGTGCAGCTCCAACCAACGGATGCTTTGCTGTGCATTACTAATTTGCCCCTTTCCTTTACATTGGAAGAGTTTGAAGAACTGGTGCGTGCGTATGGCAACGTCGAGAGATGTTTTTTGGTCTATAACGAAGTTACCGGTCACTCGAAGGGCTATGGCTTTGTGGAGTACATGAAGAAGGACTCTGCTGCCAAGGCGAGACTGGAACTTTTGGGGAAGCAGTTGGGGGAGAGCACTCTCTTTGCCCAGTGGATGGATGTGAACCAGCTCACCACAAATCTTATTCACTCCAAGTGCCTTTGTGTAGAGAAATTTCAAAAAGACTACGCTGATTCAAAAGAACTCATCCAGGCTTTCTCACTAAAGTATAAACCTGTGTTCTGCCAGGTATGTTGAATTTGTATCTTTTGGCCACGATTTAAGTAGCTCTGTATTTGCATGGTTCACTGCTTGCTGCTGTATACTTTTAATTTTCGTTTAAGTAGTGAGTGGTTGTGCATCTGCATTGTGATGTATTATGTGGTGCAAATGCTGCGTTGGTATGGGTTTGCAGCGATTGGTTTGTGTTGTCTGGGAATTCTGCAGGAGACCAGTGAAGGGCCAATAAAATATTCATAAGACACCCCCTCCTGATGGATTTTATTGAAAATAATTACAGAAATATATTGGAGAGCTTTTAAAGGAAATATTGGCGATGGTTTTATCGCTCAGTAAAGAAAGCCAGAGCGTACGAGTGCCACAAGTGCAACAGTTTAGATGATGGAGGATATGTATGTATGTGTATAATGAATATATTTAAGAAACCTCTGCAAATATGTAACATGTTTTTTCCATAACTGAGGAAGATGTAGGCTTGGGATCTCACAGTTGCTGGGCTTGCCCCTGACAGAAGTGGTACATCTTTTGGAAAGCTTGCAGGTAGAGGTGTGCTTTATAGTCCCACAGTTAGGTGTGATTTCAGTTGTTTTGGTTTTGTTTTTCTGAAGCATCTCGGATGGCTGCCCAGGGATTAGCTTCAGGGATAATTAACAGGGATTTCCAGCATCCGAGAGCGGAAGACCCATCAGGCTGTCTGATCTGACCACCTGCAGCCCATTGCGTTTTCCCTGCCACTCTTCTTAAGCCTCGCTAATTTGTCATTGACTAAAGCGCATCCTTGTACTTGCTTGATCTGAATACACCAGGAGATGCCTAAATTGGAAATAACCCTTTCCAGAAACTGCCCATCCCTTGGTGTTTTGCACTTGCATCTGTTTGCTCAGTTGAGTTTATCTAGCTTGAGCTTCACCTCACTGATGATGAGATTGAGGAGCCTTCACTTCCCAATATTTCTTCCCTGTAAGAAGGTATTAAATGCTGTAATCAAGTCACTTGCTCAATCTTTGTTTAATTAGCTAATCAGATTGATCTGTTTAAGTCTTTTACTTCAGGGCTTTTTTCCAGCTGTCACGTAATCCGGAGGCTGTTATTAGCTCCCCCAACAATTTTTCAATATTCTTTAAAAATACTGAGGTTCATAGAATAACAGGCTGCTTTGGTAAAGATGTTTTTCACTAACAATATTCGATTGTGCAGTTAGAGTCACTTAAAAATTTGCTTTTACCTGCCTTCTTAGATCATAATGATACATGGGTCATACCTGGTGTAGGTGAGGAGGGTCTGTTGTGTGTGCTGCTAACTCCGATGCAGTATTTCTTCATGTAAATATGATCTTTTACCTAAAATTCTTAGCTGAACTCATGAAATAAATTCTGGTTTATTTAGTTTTATTCCAAAACTACCAGTTTTTATATCAATTTGATTTCTCCTATAAAGACAACAGAAATGTTCCATCAGGAAGAGCTGGAGCCAGAGACTTTTACGTGGGTCTTAAAAAAATGGCATTTCCTAGTACTTACAGAAATGTGTTTTGTCCTTTGCTTCAACAAAGTGGACCAGAAAACCTCATTCCTTTCGTCAGCTTTAAATTGTCACTGGGAGGTCTCCGCTGTTACCTATATAGGGACAGAGGGCTTTTCTTCAGTACCTGTTTACTTGGGAAGTTAAAAAATCCCTGATCTGTATGCAAGAATACTGGCAGCTGCACTTTCACATGTTAAGGGAGTTCTTAACTGTGCACGAAACTACAATATGTTTAATACAAAATAAAATACAATGCTCCTCCACATAGACATACACACATATGCATACATAGCATATACATCTCTGTGTGTACTTATGTATCAAAACCTGTGTGTTCTCCAGAGCTCTTCCCAGAGGCCAGTCTTTAACAATGGCATTAAAGAACTGACCACCCTCTTTTTCCTCACAATCTTTAAGATTTATATTTCAATTCTTGGTGTAAGTTTGTGGGACCTAATAGTTGGGAACAGGTTGTTTTTATCCAGTGAAATCCAGAGGAGATTTCCTCCTTTCCACATCCGAGCTGGTATCAGTAGATTATTCCTGTTCATTTGGGGACTGGAGATTGTTCCCTAAGCTTTACTCCCTCCCATCTCACCCCCTTTTTTTGTTTGATTTAAATCTGCTCATTCTGCTATAAAACTCTGCAGACAAAGGACAGAGCATTGTTTGACACGTAAGCCTGTTTCCAGTCTGCTTGATTGATCAGTCTGGCATCTTCTCTTGGCATTAAATATACAACCACAGACTTCATGCTCTCCTAAAGGCACTGTGTATCGCTGGAATTTGCTTTGTTACATGTTTCAACCACTGTCATGTAGTCTGACAAATGACGTTTTTATCATCGTAGGCTTGAAAACTGAACAGTAATGAGTTTATAATTCTTCTCCTGCAAAATGAAAACAACAATTATTGTAGCGTACAGTGGTGTTTACAATGCCCTTCTTTATTCTGAAAACATGCATTAAACGCGTTTCATAGCTCAGGTTCGCCATGAGATGAAATTGAAGTGAAGGTGGTAATTCAAGCAGATAGACCATGCATGGCAAACTTCATATGGAGCTCTGATATCCAACTTGTATCTAGCCCATTTGTGAAAACATTGTACTGATGTGGGTGGGCATTAACATAGGATGTGAAAATACTGCAAGGTAGTTCCTGAAATTCTCCCTATTGAAATTCTCTCTCACAGTGTATTGTGAACTGTTGTTTCAGTTTGCTCAGGATGAAGACAGTCACATCGGTGACTTTGCGGTGGTGGAGTATGAAACCGCAGAGCAGGCTGAGCGAGTCCAAGAAGTGACCGATGGGATGGCCATCAAAGGGAGGAGACTCCAAGTGTCGTACTGTGCACCCGGAGCGCCGGGCAGGAGCACCTTAGCAGCACTTATAGCGGCGCAGAGGATGGTAAGAGATTTGTAAATCTCTTTTCAGAATTACTTTGATACACCTTGAGCACCCCAAGGTGGGATTCAGCTGCTTCGCATTAGGAAAACAAGCCAAGGTTTTGGAAGCATTAGCCTTTTTTTTAAATATATAACTAGGGAACCCAATTCAGTCTTCTTCCTAGGAAAAGCATGGCCGTATTCTGCAAGAAAGAAATGTAAAATATGGCCGTGAGATGTCACAAAATTATACTTACGTAGCTTTGGGATTTTAGTAAATTCAATTTTCTGTATGAGAAATTGTTCCAGCTCAGTACAAAACTACCTGTAAGTGGAGTTATTTGACAAGCTAAAACTTGGCTTACAACAGAGAGGCAAGAATCTGTCAATTTTAAGACACATTTCAAGATAGGAGAAATAGTTTAATTTCATGCTTGATATAAAAGAAAGCTTTTTACACCCACACGTCTTATCAAATTATTTCCTAGAAAATTGGATGTGATAAGTTACATGAAGCTGTCTTAAAAGTAGAGGCAGAACAGTCTCATTACTTCGGCTAGCTTTAACACACATCTTTATAAAAGAGATGAGTGCTGCTATTGTAAGATCCTACGTGGTGTTCATGTTAACAGTGCCTTTTGTGTTCTCCTTTCTTGATAACTCTGCCTTGGTTTAGGGGAAAAAAGGAAATGTGTATCAGGAAAAATAATATGCTTGGAGTTTTGGGGGGAATAGTCTTAGGTGTTTCGTTTAAGGGAAAAGGATCGTGAACAGGAGCAGGAAACAGGGAAGGAGACTTTTTTCAGTGTGAAATGAAATGTGTACATTAGCGTCACATAAGTTTGAGGGATTTAGATTTATTCTTTGTTTTCTCCTGACAACAACATTTCTGTCTCTCTCTTAATTGGAGATGAGGAACAATAGAAAAGGCTTGCTTCCGGAGCCAAACCCCATGCAGATTATGAAAAGTTTTAATAATCCCGCAATGTTGCAAATGCTTCTGCAGCCCCAGTTGCGTGGACATCCTGTTAAGCCGGGTAAGTTGTTTTAAAACTGATTTTAAAATAAGAAGCCCTGTTGTTTATGAGATGAGGCTTTCAGCAAAGGGGAGAAGCAGGAATACTATTGTAAAATCTGTGCAGACAGTTTCAGTGTGTCTGTGTAGCCTCAGATTTTATGAAAGCAAAAGCCAGGGATGGATTGCTACACCATCGTGTCTGGGTTACCCAAAAATGTCCTCACATTAACTCTGTGGTCTCTGAATGTTTATGTTAGAAATGGGTTTAAAATGAAATGTCTTTTGCAGACATCATATAAAATGGTGAGTTTAAATCAAGATCAAAGCTGGGCGTATTGAAAGGTTTCATTATAGTGACTTTTAGTAAACTTTTGTGTAGTTTTTGCACGTTTTGTGGAAACCAGATCTGAAAAGTACAGACTAACTCATAAAGATCTAACGTATGAAACACTGCGACTTTTTCTTGTTTTTCTAAAACAGTTCTTGGAGCATCTGCAGGTTTACCTCACCTTATAAATTCGGCAGTTGGCTCACCTTTTTTGCAGCTGAATAAAGTTCATCAGGTAGGCGACAAAATAACTTGTCAAAATGGGTATTTGTGTAGATCTGAGCATGAAAAACATTCTCAAAGTTTGAAGAAATTACAGCTGAAATCAAGTGTTCTTGTTAAAGCTGTTTTTAAGAAATCGTGAGGTGTCTGTGGGAATGTGATAGCAGATTGTGCTTACTATTGACAAGTGAGTTATTTTATCTTAACTGAGCTTTTGGTTTGCTAACACCTGCTGATGTAGAAATAACTTGCCATTACTGGCAAAAAAAATCCTCTTTAAATTAGAGCTGGAGGAGCACGGCACATCCATTTCTCTTGGAGCTGCTCATACACACTTCCTGTAGTGATGCGATTCTTTTATCTTATTCAAGCCAAGCAGCTTAGCATCTCTATCTTCATTTTAAAGCTTGCAGGGACCAAAATGTGCTATGTATGCCATAAAAAATAGTAATTTGCAGATGTTTCTTCTTAGTCAAAAAAAAACCCCTAAGCTTGTAAGCTGTTTAAAGTGTTCTTGGACTATCTATATTCACTGTAAATTTGATACAACTTCCATATGGACACCAGAATTTCTGAAAGACGCTATAAAGGATATTTGGGATGAGTTTTCCCTGGTGATGAGAAGATGCCAGAATAGCACCCACAACCGAAATTCCTCCCTGCAGCAGTTCCCTTGGCCCGCAGCCTGCCTGGCCCCTGCCAGCACTGAGGGTCTGCCTCCAGCTCTGCCAGGAGCCAAAATTTGACTTCAGTATTCACGGTGGGGATTTTCCTAAGTACCTGTGAGGGACTGGAGTCAATCACTTTGACCTGCTGTTTATGATGTTTCAGAAATGTTTTCAAAAAGAAAATCCTCTTAAGGAGTTCTTACTTCTGCTGGTCTTTTGGCAGACAAAGACTTACAGATCTTTAAAAAACGACCAAATTAAAATGCAGAGATTCTTCTTATGTTAAGTATATTTAGCATTTCTCTTCTTTTTCTGCTAAAAACTGGTAGGTGAATGTATTAGTTTTGAATAAATGCTACTTAATTTTGCTCCATCAAATGAATTGCTTTTGTCCTGTATGATGAAAAAAAAGTACATCACTGTTTGCTTGTACTTCTTTTCTTTAAATGACATTTTCAATTGGTATATTTAGTTACTGCTGCTCTCTCTCCAGCCTTGGAGAGCCCGTGCTTCCTTGGAAGGCAATGTGCATGTTTTTGGATGGCAGCTGGAGACAGGCGTGTTTTAGACAGCCACAGTGAGATTGAGGAGGATCCAGTGGGTTTTGGCTTCAGGAGTGCTGCAGCCAAACAAAAAAAAAAATTGGTGTTTTCTCTTCAGAGAGACTTAAAAGTCTAATGCTCTTCCAGGGAGCTTCCTGTCATTTAATCGGCTCCAAACCTGCTCTAACAGCTTGGATTTTATTGACAGTTATTTGATTATCCCAGTTCCTTCTGTTAGACACATTTATCTGTTATTCAGTGACTTATTTCAGAGTATTCTCTAGAGCCAGAGAACCAGGTCACTGTTTTTATTGTCTTGAAATTCAGGGTTGTCACAAGACAGGGGAACAGGCAGCGTCTTGGCTTGGCTCTCCCCACCTCCCCAGTCACACACTGATTCAGTTTCCTGTGTATCTTGGTTTTACAATTTTATATTCAAGGCATTGTAAAGTAATATAATGAGAAGAAACAATATTTTTAGAATGATTATGCTACAGCATTATGAAATTATTGATGAAAAGAGATTCAACGGAGAGGAATTTGAACAAATGGGTTATTCATGCAGTAATCTTTCAACTCTGGAGCTAGCATGATGTTCAACTTCTTTCTCTTAATTTCTCTTAGCCACAGTTATCACATGCAAAAAAAAAAGCATTTTAAACTTTCTCAGTGATGTGTTTTCCTGAGTCATCCAGCAGTTTAATAAATTTTTATTAACTCAGAGACTTTCTTTGGAGGATTCTAACCAACCTGATTTTCCACTCTTGTGTTTCTGAAAGTTTTGCAATTGAACTAATACAGACTTTTTTGTTGACTTAACCAAGTTTGGAAGGAACAACCACTGGTACTGGTGACAATAAGCAGCCCTGGATAACTTCTGCTGGAAGTAACTATGATAATTAAAATAGTCAATGCATAGCTAATTTAGGTGTGGGTTTTTTTTGTTTTACACTGCACATTTCTGAGTCCAGAAGACCATATTATAGGCACAGAGGGTTTTCCCTAGGGAGTTTGACCCTACCACGCGCAGATACAACCTAGACTTGAAAATATTTGTGAGCTGTGAAATCCACAAAGCCATGCATCAGGAAAGCTGCTGCCTTTTTGGCTTCATTACCTGGTTTTGGTGGTCTTTCCTATGCAGGAAATTTCAAAAAAATGAGGAAGGCTATACTTGTGATTTGACACAGTGTCCCCTGTATCTGTTCTTGCACCGCTGTACAAGAAGGTTTGTAGAACAACCTATATTTTGCCTGACAAATCATGTTCAGGAGCTGCTGCCAAAAGGAGAGTTTCAAGCCTGTGGTCAGCTCGCATGACTCACAACATCACTTTGCGATCCAAAGTGGATGTAAGGTTTCTTTTTAAGCCACTATGCTAGCCAGAGCTGAATATACCGGTACCAGGGTCTGTATGTGGTGCCCCAAAGTTGTTGAAGAAGTGGCTCAATTCTGGTGGTAAACTGATCCAGACTTTTCAAGTGAAAAATATTAATATTTTATAGACTTGAATATTTGTAGGCATTGTGATTTGTAAGCTTTTTAATGGTTCTGGAATAGAATTTCATGTAGGTAGTTGCCACTAAAAAAGGGGATGGAAACCTATCTGGATATTCTTTGAAAATAAAGACAGTCTGGTAACTGTAAAGCAAGGGCTGAGAGTCCCCACTGGTTACAACCAAGTCCTGTAAGCTGTATAGGTATTTGGCAGAGATTATGTATTAAATTGCGAGGCACAATGCAAATGTTCACGAACAATGAAGTCCTTATTCACACAGCTCCTAATCCCCTGAAGTCCTTGTGTCTCATCTTTCTTCCTGGCACTGCAGGTAACCTCTATCTCGTCTGTCTGCAGAAGCTTCAAACACATTCAGCTTTGCCTGTTGGCTTAGACACGGGGGCTGTGTTGAATTCAGGATTGTATTTGGAGAATACAAATCCCTTAAAAGCCATCAGAAAGCACACTTGTGGTTGTGAAGTGAAAAAAAGCACTGAGAGGAAGAGAGGTTAAAGGAATTTGAAATACCTTTCTATGAATGAAGCAAAAATGTAGTTTTGTGGAAGAAATGGTTACTTTCCTTTGCTGTATTAACTCAGAAACAAATTAAATTTCTTTCAGCAGTATCATCTGGAAATATTTCAGGAACGTCCTGTTTTCCATGGCTGTCTAATGACACTTCTTTTATTAATTTCACAGAGTTCAGTTCTGGGTAGCACATCTAACTTACTGCTGCAGAGCCCTGCGCACCTACCACTGCCACAGCAGCAGCTGATGAAGGTTGAAAACCTCCAGGCTAATAGTGTAAGGCATCACTTTAATGTTTTTGGGCATTGTTACAACTGCAAAACCAATATTTTTTTCATCTAATGTAATTTAGTGTATCTGAAAATGTGAAAGAAATTCCTACAAACAGATTGTTTTAAATAATATATACAACTTTCCTTTCTTCCTTATAGAAACCGGGTTTGCTGGGAGAGCCTCCAACTATGCTGCTTCAGACAGTGCTGGGAATAGGGGTAATGCCATCAGTGAGCTCAGCCATGGGAACCCGTGGAGAAGCTCTTAAGTGTAAATGCCATTTTCTTTCATACCACATCGGTAGAAATGCTCAGCTTGAAATTATGCACCTTACTTCCTCCCACTTTAGCAAAAGCATGTTTGAACCTTAGCACTGCAGAGTAGGTAGGCAGAGAGCTGGACAACAATGCACGTTATATTGCTATATAGTTAAGCAAGTTAACAAGTTCTGTATCTATATAACTAACTGTAACCTGCTGGTTTGAGCAGGAAATGAAATATCTTACCTTGTTGCCTGGCTTCTCTCATCTGTTTGTCAGGGAAGAAATTGTATGCTGTGGTGTTGGTTGAGTATTTGCAGGTTGTTAAATATTCTGCTTGCTCAGCTACTGCTATTTTTAGTATATTCAGAGTATGTTTTTATTTAGGATCAAGATTTTGGCGTTTGCTGTTCCGAAATTATTCAGATAAATCTGAATAGCTGAAAAGGCACTGCAAATAGCTTTTTTGCATTTGTTTCATTAAGTGATAGAGCTTTAATATCCAATCTGTGACACATGATAATTTTGAATGCAAATTTTTGCACCAATGATGGCCTCAACTTTTATGAGGAAAGATCAGTTGTGTTGCTGCTTAGTGCATCTTTCTTGTTTCCTCCACTGAGGGCCATGTATTCTGCAGTTCTAGATGTGGTTTGGTTAATGGTAGTAATACTCTAAGTTAATGATAGGAAACACTAACTTCTTATCATGATTGAATGTTTAGAAAAGTAACGGTTTTCTTCTGTCGTATAAGCCTTAAATAGAGCTGTTTGCTCTTGGGATGGGAAAAGCATAAAAACCATCCCCAGAATCTGGTGTTGTGGGACAGCTGTAAAATAGATCTCTCAAATGTTTTTCTCCTCACTTAGTAAAAACCCCAAACAAAACGTACTGATAAATCTTGTTTAACAGAAAAGTTTCTCCATTTATGGTTGACTGCAGCATCTAATTGACTCCCAATTCAACCAGCAGCAGCAGCAGGGATGGGCATGCTGCCATTCTTCCCGAATCAGCACATTGTTGGGCAAGCTCTGCCAGGGCCAAACAGTGCTGCAGATAAAGCAGCAGCTCCCGACGTGGTTGTCTCGGGATCACAGCCTTATCATCAGACCCTAACGCATCTTTCTGCGGGAGCTCTGCGGGCTGGCCATGCCAAACAGCAAAATCAGCTAAAAAGCACTGATACAGCTTTGGGGGTAAGGAACATCAGATACAAATATTTTCCTTTGGTTTTTTTGTGTGGATTTTATATATTTATTTTAATTTTAACATGCTTAAGAGTTAACTGCAGCTGCATATTGTAGTCCTTCGCTGTAAAATTTGCTAGATCACAGGATCACTCATGAGACATTTTAAGGTCACTTCAGTTATGAAGAATAGGGAGAGAACAATAATGCTCTTTGGTGGTCCAAATGAATTAACAAAGGAATCTTTTTGCAATGCTGGAGGGTATTTTTTCCATGTGTGTGCCTCACAGTATTTGATGATGAAATTATCTCAAGGGCAGTGTCCCTTTTAAAGACTGAAAATCAAACTTGTGGTTGAAATTCATGACTAATCAGAAGCAATTCTAGTGCTGCGTAGGGCCTTTGGGTTTGCCAGGTGGTGCGTGTGTACACACACACACATGATATATATATATATGTGTGTGTGTGTGTTTGTGTAAATTCTCCACTTTTAATCCATATCCTCTTAACCATAGCTGACTTTGTCTGAATTTAGTTTTACTGTTTAATTATTAAAATTTAGGCAGGGATGGGAGGGTGATGAGAGGGGATTTAAGTTGAACCAGAATGGTCTGTTGAAGATTTTTTCAGCGTGTCCTGTCATTAACAGAATTCGGTCTATGCATTTACTTTTTTATATAAAAATACATGAATATATTTATGAGGAGACATGGTCTTAATTTAGATCAGATTTGTGTTTTCCTAACATATTTTCTGAAGCATCTCAAGTGGTTAAATTAGATGCAGCATTGGTGTCTGCTTCTGTTAGACAGCTTCAACAGATTCAGTCCTACTTCAGAAAGTACACTTTTTAAGTAACCTTTTACTGTAATGAATTGGGATTTTACCTGTGTATAGCTACATATGGGTATCATACATAGGGAGTGTGTGTGTATATTTAAATCAGTGTTTTATTTCAGAATTTCATTCAGATAAAAGGAAATGTAATTAAACCATTAGATAATTAATTTATTTCTATTAATATTGTTTATCAGGAAAAGTTCTTTTCTGAAATTCTGGTAGGTGGTTTATTTGTTTCCTTTTCTGCACCAGCAGACAAGGCCCAGGTTGCAAAACTCCCTTCCTTGACACGCCAGCCAGTCCATGTGCTGGTACTGAGCAGTCACACTGTCTTAAAATAACCTGCTTTTGCATCCAGATGGAGAAGTCCTCCTCTCTCCTGAAGTTTTTTGTGTTTAAAAACTGTTCTCACTGTTTTGAAAAGTTGTTGATTAATACAGAATTAATCCCTTAAAATAAAGGATTTTTTTCCTTAATGGGCTTTGGAAAAAAGAACAGGATAGATGTAGAGTAGAATACAGTATAAACATCTTTGAGCTCCGTATTTCAGACAATCTGTGTAACTTGCTATAGCCACTTCATCCTTATTTCTGGTGGTTTTTCTAACATAAGCAAAGGGGACGTCAGCTGGCGGCGCGCCCTTCCTACTGCTGGTGGCTTGGAGTGAGTCAGCCCTGACACTTCGTTTCCACTCATAAACATTTTCTCCTTTTAAGTAAGGGCTCATAAATACACAGAGCTGTGTTAGGGGGCAGGTTGCAGACACTGTCATCTCTCCAGTCCAGGGTTTATTTGTCCTTTATTTTCTTGTGACTCTGAGTGAAAAGAGTTGACTTTCTTGGCCACATCCTTAATGCTAACTCCTTCCATCTGGGATCATTACCATGATTATTTTTCATTTAATTGAATTTAAAAGTTTTCTTTTGTTTGTTTGCTTGTTTTTTAAAATATCCTTTAGCAACTTACAGTCTAAAGAGAAACAGCCCTACGAAATTATTTGGCAAGAAATGAGCACAGGCAATGTGTCAGGACAGTTGTCACCAGTATTGATGTTAAAAGTCTTCCTGTTACATTTCATAGGGCTAAGGTTTTTTTTCAAAATCCTGCCGAAACACCTTACTTCTGCCAGATATTGTATCAATATATAATGCACGCTGACCTCTCCAATTGTTTTGCAGACTCCCTTGAAAAAACAGACCTCGCTGCTTGGAGAACCACCGAAAGAAATACGTCTTAGTACTAACCCCTACCTGAATTTGGCAAGCGTGTTGCCTGGTTTATGTCTTCCAGGTAAGCAAATATTTAATAGTTTCAATAGCAACTTTCCTTGACCAGAATGTCACACATTGTTACTGTCGGGCAGGTAATTCCAGTGACCACAACATTTATCTTTAAAGAAATCTTGTAGTCTGTCTCAAAATTGCAATGTAATCTATCCTCAAAGTTAATCTTTTATTTGGAAAGGGTAAATTTTCAGAGTTAATGGGCTTACTGATGTAGAGAAACTTCTAGAAAACCTCTCAACTACTACTAGCACTGATTAATTTTGAGCGCAGCCTGATCTAAGGTAGCAGATTTCTGTTTTAATCCCAGAATATTGCTGAACAAGAGTGCAACCCAGTTTGTGCAGTTTATACAAAGGGTGTATTCTTTGTGTTACAAACAGCAGTCGCTAGCAAAGGCTCCAGTCCACCGCAGCAGACCGGACTCGCAAACAACATCGTGGATGCTGCTGCGTCTCAGGGAACTACAACGCAGCACGCAATGGAAAATTATTTTAATTACTCCCAACAGCACGGGGAGTACTCGCAGGTATGTTGATCTGCGGCCCTTTCTGAAGCCTGGTTTGTCACTCAGAGCTCTGGTAGCAGGATTTTTGGCCGAGATTTGCTCAGAGATCCCTCCCTGGGTTGGTTGCTCATTGTTATTCTCTGCGAACTCTTAATGCGTTTGTTGGCACAGCTGTGGTCTGATAGCCCTGTGTGCAGTCAAACAGAATTGCCCAACGTCATGTACCACTCTTCAGCAGTTCCTAGGCTTTCCTACAACCAAAGCCCACCCTTTTCTTCAGATTAAACCTTGTTGGTCCTCTTCACTGACAGTTTCTCTCTTGGTACACAATAGGTTTAGCACACAGTACATTAGTACCAGTCAAAAAAACCACTGAGCCGCAATACATTCCCCACTGCAGTGTCATAACCATTGAAAGATCGCTCCTTGATAACATGAAGTCAGTGCAGTTGGTAAAAAATTACTTCTTATAACTTCTGGCTTGGCTTTGGTCTGTCTTCAAAACCATGACATTTTTGTTTTCCCCAAGGAGTTTTAAGGTTTTCTTGAGCCTTGGCTAGATCCCACAGACGAGTGTGCTCTGTCTACCGGGAGTTCCTCTGTAGCTTGGGGAACTTTTGCAGTCTCTGCCAGCTGATTTTGCTGCATGGGATTTCTTCACCCCGTGTCCTATTTGGTGACCAGAGCATGGCTGTTAGGGCGGAGGGGCTGCCTTGCATCTGTAGAGCAAGAGCAAGTACTGGCTTTCGCAGACATTGGGACGTTCTGTGAAATAGTATTGCCATATTTCCTTTAGCCATCACTAGTCTGTGCAGAAAGAGTTGTATGCCTTAAATCAAATAGGAGACCTGGATCGTAGTGCTGTTAGTGTGGGTGTGGGGGTTGTTTCGCATGAGGAGGGTCTGGGCCTGGCCACGGAGGGTGGAGAAGACCGGGTTGCTGCACAGACCCATGTCCTGTTGGATCAGATCTGGTGACAGATGTGGGTCAGAGATACACAAGAGGTGTGCTCTGGGCTGCTGTGCTGTGTGTTTCGTGTAAGCACTAATGTAGTCTCAGATATTTTGTTTGAATCTGATTGTTGGCTTTACATTCATTTTGGTGTCTCTTGGAGGTAGTTCCTAACCCCAATCCTTAAAATGCTGTCCAAAAAAATCAGTAATATTGTGATATTAGTGTTATTAGTATTATCCTTAATAACGTGAAGGGCTCAGATGATGTCTCTTAGGTGCAAAGATGCCCCATGTCATCATTCAGGTGTATTTGTGCTGTCTGTTCCTTCCATGTAACAGAAATTACATTGTACTTATGTCCGCTGCCAAGGCAGTGGTGCCTTGTGTATCTCTAAGCACTGAACATAGTTGTAAATGTTGGGTTTGAGCTGTATTGCTGGTGTTAAACGTGTTTCGATGCTTCTTGGAGAGCTGTGCCTTTTATTCATCCTTGTGTTCCACGAGGCTGTAGGAACTGTTGTGATTTCAAGTGATCATAGTAGACAGCTTTTCCTCCGTTATAGGAGGCTGTTCAGCAGTGGTATCAGTGTTACGCTCAGGCCTATAACTCTACCCAGGCAAGAGCTGATGGATTTGAAAATGAAGCCTCCGAGGTGAGAAATGATTTTATTTTCTTCCTGTCTGTGTTGGCTGTTTCTCCCAAGGCTGTTTTTGGGCTCTGGACACCTGCTTTGTGTGTCGGTAGTGGCTGCTGCCGTCGGTACCACAGGAACAAGGGGAGAGCATGGGACGAATGGCACTGCATGGGCACCTTCTGCAGGGCATCCCTGCACGGGTCCTCTCCAGGATCCATGCTCACGCTTTTGATTATGTCTGGCATGAATATTCCTCTCTCTAAAATGCCACAATCCCAAGTTACCTGTAAAGTTCAGGAGTATTTATTGAAATATTCCTACCAAGAAGCAGCACAGCATACTCACCCAGTGAGTCCTGAAGGAGCGTTTCTCACCCTGGCCATTATCTGGCCCGAGGGTTCTGTGACCACTGAGAAGCACGCTTTTTTTAAAAAAAAAGAATTGTGTAAAGCAAACCATTCCCTAAATCCTACATTTTGCTCAAGAAATTGCTGCATGCCTGAGCTGCTGTGAATTGTACACTCCTTTTAGCAGCTGAGTGCGACTCAGATTTTTTCATACCTGCCGAGTGCTCCTGACTATATCCAGTAAAAGCGAATTACTAAACCTATTTTCTTTCAACTTCTCGTTGATCACGGATCCCATTCTACATTTAGGAATCTACAGGCGGATCTTACCCAGACTACAATGCCTGCTTGCAGGCCATGCCTGCCCTTTTCAGTGGAGCCCAGGGACCGCAGCAGCCAGGCAGCTTGCAGCTTCCTCCACAAATCCCAGTAAAAAAGGTGAGAGGAGACCCAGCAGAAGGAGCAGCTGCTGGTGGAAACACTTCTTATTTGTCTTGTGCTGCCACCGAGTGGAGTTTGGACCCACAGCAAGCCAAGGCAGAGCTTTGGCACTGCACCTGTACTCCTTGGGGTCCTGAGTTGCTCGGCATCACACACAGGTCCTGGTGGATGTGATAAATAAAAGCAGGGTTTGGTGCGAAAATGCCTTGAAGATGGCAAATGAAGTAGGAATTGAGCAAAGGAGGAGAAGGTAGTTCACACTGGGTTTAGGTGGGGTTTTTTGCCTGATGCTTTGCAGTCAGTGCCAGTAGCATAAAACCTCTGAAGTGGCGTTAGCAAGTCATGGCAGTGGCCAGGTCGCCGACAGCCTCTGCTCTGTAGTTCTCTGAACTGGATCCTGGAAGGAAAACCATTTAAAAATGGCTTTCATTTGAAATGACAACAGATGTCAGATGCAAGGCTCACTGAGCAAAGCTTCCTTTGTCTGCTGGACCCAGCACACAGTTTCATCAATAAAAGATGCAGGAGGGATGAAGAAGTGCTATGGAAGCCGTGAGGACCAGCTTAGAGGAGGCTGGAGGCTGGACTAGCAGGAGGCTGGTGTAACACACCAAGGCGGTGGGGATAAAAGCTTTCTTCAGGCTGAGCATGGGTCTCATCGTTTCATGAGTGCCTTAGAAGTCCTGAGAAATTCATGCTCGCATGCTGTAGGTAAATCACATTTCTTCTGGTTTTATGGATAGGAGAGACCTTAAAAGCCAGACCTGGCAGGAGATTCCCCTTGTTCTGGAGGAGATTTAAAAGGAACAAACAACTGTAGCAATTCATGACTCCTGGGTAGGAGGCACGGCCTGGCTGGAGCTGGCTTTGATATGTCTTGGCTTAATGCTGGACGAGGCCTGAATATGTTGCCATGGGCTGTAAGACCTTAACTCTGTGCAGCAAAACACTGAGCTTTCAAGTTCCTAACAGCTCTGATACGGCTGGAAATGAGTGAGGTTGTAACAAGAGGAGGTGGCGTGGGGTTTGAGCTAACTCATACCTTTTTGTTTATCTCCAGTCTAAAGAGGAGAGCTTGTATGGGGAAGTGATGCTGAACATTTGGCTCGGAAGTTTGTCTGAATGCCAGATGCCATAAAAGGCAGCGAGCGCGGTCAGTCCCTTGGCATGGACACAGCAGGAGCTCGGTTTGCCTCCGCAGTGAGGGGCTTTTCTCATTCCTGGAGTCAGCAGATAAATCTCAGCCAAGAGGGCGCAGAGGCGACCCCTTGAGGCTCTGTATCGCTTCAGAGTGTGCTCATGTGTGCACTTGTGTGAACCCTGCAGCCGCTTTTTCTCCTGCTTCCATGGGCTGCGTTTCAGAGGTTCAGAAGGAGCACGGTCGGAGGTTTGAATGAAGGAGCATGGTCGGAGGTTTGTACAAAGCACGGAGCGGTGCTGCTTGTGCTCTGTGACGTGAGCCAGGACGTGGTGGAGGGCTACCATGCACGTGTGACAACTACAAGTCCTTCCCCAGGCAGTTTCCTATTTATGATAATGACAAGCGCACGCTAAAATGAAATTGGACTTAGGACAGAGTAATTTGAGCTGTGTATGTGAATTAGCAAGGGGCGCTGCTGAGGACTGCTAGGAAGTGTTCGGCTCGGGGACATTTGGTCAGCACAGCTCTTCTTTTGATTGAGTTCAGGAGTTTGTGTCCTGGTTTGTGAAACATGTTATAGCTTCAAAAATATTTACTGCAACATGAACCAGAAACCCAAATCTTCTGATCTAGGAGCCAGAGTTAACCCAGGACATGCAGCATGGTTGAGCAGGATGTGGCGAGATCAGGTTCAGGTGGAACCGGAGGTTCCTCAGGTGGAGAGGAGTGATCAAGAGTTATTGATTTAGCGGGGTGGACTCTATGTGTACCTGCAGTTCCTGGTGCTGTGGGGCCATGGACAGAGCAATGTCCTGCTCCGATGGATCCCAGAGAGGAGCTGAACCTTGTGTACCCCAAGGAGACCTTGGCGGTGGGGCAGCCTCAGGCCACCCCTGCCCTCACGAGAAACCCTGCCCTGGGACCCTCAGGGCTTTCTGCGTGGGTATGAGGTATTTTGGTTGAACTGCAGTTGTGATTAAAGAATCGTTGTTGCGCTCTCTTTCACCTCGGTCCCACGTGTTGACCCGTGCCTGTGAGTGGCAATGGTTACCCATAACACAAACCCGCTTTGGCATGGCTGGAAACCAAACTGTTCAACATCTGACCTGCCACCATCACTGCCAGGACACGGTAACCCATGCAGCTCTCCAGAAGAGAAAGAGGAAGGAAAGGTGGCCCCACTGGTGCCTGGCTTTAGTGGATGAGGATGGCTGGAGCTGGGAAGCTGCAGGGCAGTAGCATGGCCATCACACTGCTGCTTCTCAAACATGCACTGTGGGCCCTTTGCCCTCACAAAAACACATGTACGGTGAGGCACCAGCGCAGTTATGACTTCTGGGTATTTGTTTAGGGAAAGGGCACAGCTGCTGACTCATGCACTGTGTATAGCTGGACCGTAAAGCCGAAGGAGTCGGGCCTTGGAGTCGGTTACTGGCTCCTGGTCCTTGGTTGTTCCCAGACTCGAGCTCTATTTCTGGACACTTGCTCCTGATCGCCTGTCATTTGCTGTCGTCTTGTCCTCAGGTGGCTCCAGCGCGCAGCGAGAAGCGCGGCTCCTCGTACCTCGTGTCCTCCCCAGAGCCTGGCCCCTTGGAGTACCTCGCCCAGCAGACCCAGGGCTCCGCAGTCCGCTACGCAGAATCCTCCCTCAAAAAAAAGCGCGTTTATTGAGCCCTAAACAACCCCTCCGCCTTAGGGCGTGAAGGTGGGCGTTTTGTACCTCTGCTATTTATTGCTGCCTTAACGTCAGACAAGTAATTCTTCTTTCTGCATGGGTTATAAACATCCCAAGAGGAACAACCTCTGCGATGGCGAACATGCCAAGGAAGGGGTACGTATTGCTGCAAGGTCAGGCATTTCCTGTAGCCCAAATTGCCTTCTGCAAGGATGGGATCTTCATCGTCTGCCGCTGGATCCAAGCGGGGGCTGAAGCTGGCGAAGCAAAGGAACTTGGTGAGTTTTGGTAGCTTACCAGCCAAAAGCAATAAAAACACTGAGGAGGAAACACTGCTCCTTTCTCTAATCCTCAGACTGAGGAAGTTAAAAGATGAAGTCTTGATAGTAATTTTTTCTTATTTTTTTTTTAACTCAGAATGTGAGATTTGGTTTGTTGTTGGGTTTTTTTTTCACTCTTACTTTTTCCAGGATTAAGAGTTCTGCATTTACAGCCTTTATATTTTTAATATTTCCTCTTAATCCTGGAATGGAGATATACCAAATGTATTACCAGAGCCTCTGCAATGTTTTCAATAAATGTTTGTTAAAAGGAAGAAAGATGCTATACTGCGTGCTGCCTTGCGATAGTAAATTCCGTTTGGATAGGCACTGCTTGGACGATGAAGTAACTTTTATCTGCTTCTAGGCCAAGAATCCACAGCTTTTCCTTGGAATAAGTCACTGACAGTTTGTGAGTGCATCTGTGTGTCACGGTGTAGGTGGTAAAGCGGTTTCCTCCTGCCACCAGGCACGTGTGTTGGTACGGCAGGGCATGGGCAGCGCTCTCAGGCGGTGGAGCGACATTAAAGGTAACTGAAGGTGGAAGAAATGAGCCCCCGGTTGTGCTTTTTCTGACTTCTTCTGCATCTGGATGAGTCAGAGGTAGAGCAGGTGCGATACCAACGTGCTCCTCGGCTGACGGCTTTAATCCTGTAGGTTTGGGTATTTTTTCTCCCCCCCTCCCCAGGTATCTTTAACTTCTGAAATGTGCTGCACTCCAAAGCTTGCAGGAGCAGAGCGTCCTGGCTCTGAATTTAACTTCTCACATATTTTCTGTTGCATGATGTAGTTCTTTGTAGGAGGGACCAGTATTGATCCCTCACCTGTCTCTGCACTATGGGCTCACACTGTACAGGGTGACCCGTGGCAGCTGGGCAGGTGGCACCATGCAGGTGTGGTTTCCCAGCTTCACTGTATTTGTGTTATCTTTTTTAAAATGAAACTAGATTTTGTATTTTTTTTTTTTAGCTTATTCATGAAGCAGCTCTGGTTTGAGTCTTTCTTTTCTGCTCTTAATCCTTATAGCGCAAGACTTGGAAATTGTTACTGCTGGCATCAGTGTTTGTGACAGGTGAATCCTGAGCCAGCCCTTGGTGAGAGACAGTGGGGATTTGCTGCCTTGGGTCTTCTGCAGTCTTTTTTGGACTGAATTCACTGACCACTGAGCCCAGGTCCTTCCTGCTTAATCCTGTTAGAGGATACTGAAGCCATTTTTCAATATTGTTGTGTTTTTCCCTTTTTTTTTTTTTTTAAACTCTTAAATGCTGCCTTTCAAGTTTTGTGATGTGACCAGAATAAGTATTTTCAGCTCTTAAAACCAAAACCCCCACCCCACTCCCCTCCCCTCCCTCAGCTGCTGCAGAGCTGTGTGTCCTGTACCCGCTCAGGCCAAGCAGCGCCACCGGCTCTGGAACTGCTCTGAGCGCCCACAGGGATGTACCGATAAATTCATTTGCACTGTTTTGTTCAGACTGTTTGTATGTGCAACTTCCTCAACTTGTTATGCTTTCCGATGAAAATAAATTTTTTTGGTATGCATTTAAAGTGGATTTCTGCAGGAGGAAAACCTCTCTGGATTACCTTTAAAGTAACCACTTACAGGGAAAGGTTGTTCTGAAGACAAAGTGTTCTGCTCACCATTCCTATGGAAGTTACATTTTAAAATCTTTCTCTGTTTAATTTATGATTAAAAAAGTTACGCATGTGGAGAAAAAAAATCTTTATTAATTAGAATTGCTTGTATAAAGAGTAACAAAGTGCTTACAGATTTAAGTCAGGTTCACGGGTGACATACAGAAAAAAACAACAGGTAATACTGTAAAACTAAATCTGACCCCATTCAGGTTTGGTTTTTATATATATCTCTTTCTGTAATTGCCAGAACTGAGTAGAGTATCTCCTCCAAGCATTTCCAAAATTCAGCTGTGGTGAGAACACACTGCTCACCCCAGTGCTCGGCCCTGGTCTGTGCGTGGTTTCCAGTCCAACCGCTGCTCACGGCAGCTTCACCACGCGAGCACAGGGCGCCCTGGCGTGCCCCAGGTACGGCCTAACCCAAGTCTGGTCCTGACAACACCAACACGAGCGTGGTCCCCATCTGACCCCGCTGGCTTCCCTCCCAGTAACGGACTCCTGCCCCAGTGCACGGTGTGGGGCTGTACAGCAAATACCGGCCAATGCAGCCGAAAGAATCCACATCTTGGGCTTTACAGAGAATGCTAAAATGAATTAACGTGCTGGCAAAAGAAATTAATGACCGAAAAATGGTTAAAAAAAAAAATGACGACTGTTTTGTGGCTCCATCCTAGCTCACAGATAATTACATTCTTTATTAGAAGAGCACTCCCCCAGCTTCTGTCCATTCCTATCCCCAACATGTGTCACTAATTTCCTATGCACATCTCCCTGCATAGAGCTCAGAACTGCAGACTGGTTTAAGACAAGCCAATAATTTTGTCTTCTCTGGATTTTTATCCGGAGTGGGGGGTTTTTTTTTTGTAACTAAAATTTAAGTGCACATAAAAGGTGTTTGTCAGCCAAACTTTTTTTTTTTTAATAAACTCCCTGAAAACCCCATAAAAATTATTAATTCTAGTACCGAGTCCTCTCCTGTCCACAGGTTCAGTTCTTCCAGCACTGAGCGTGCACAGCAGACACGTTTTCAGTGCTGATGCTGAGAGCTGCAGCATTTTTTGACATTGCTCTTTTCCTTCGCGTTCATGGGGGCAGTTCCCATTGCGGCGAGACCGAAATCAGAGAGAAAAACTGCCTTGCAATAACAGCAGCAAAAGGCGTTGAAGCTGTTGGTGCTGCCATACCTTTTAATTCATTTGATCCAACTGTTGACTAAAATTAAAAAGGAAAACTGCTCGAACACAAATCCTTTGAACACATTAGCACAGTCAGAGTACAAATTACAGTTAAAAAAAAACAACACAAAAGGTCTTGGGCACTTATATATTGATACACATCTAAAGTACTGACAGTATAAAAAAAATTAATTACATTTTACTCATAATTGTTTCAAATCCTTGAATTAGATTGTGAAAGGTGGTCCGTTCATCATGCTTGAAAATCCAGCACTTCCTCATCAGCTGGTCCACCTAACAACAACAGGAGAAAATGTTAAAGGATGGGTGAGACATTTCCTTTGCTTTTTGAGGAAATGTAAGGGAGCAGGGCCTTGCTGTATGAAAAGAAGATCACTGACAGAAACCCTGTGCAGCAATAGCAAATATCTGTTACCAGTGGGGTTTGTTTTCTTTAAATAGAGGTGTATGTTGGTCTGACACTGCAAACGGTGCAGTGGTAGTGCACTTTAAAACTAAGTAATTGAAATAATGCTTAGAATACTTGGAAATGCCTTTTTAATAGCAGACCTGAAAGGTTTCCTACCAAAAGAAGCCAGATCTACACAACCATAGATGTGTGGTTGATGCTAATTTAGTGTCAGAGGAAGGGAATGGTTATCACAGCGTGGGTGCGTTCATTACCTCCTCGGGGCAGTTGGGGGGACGTGGCAAACGCTTCTCCTCCTGCAGGACCCGCACCAGCCGCGCCACCGTCATCTGCCCCTGCGTGGGGCCGATCATCTTGAGGAACTCCTGCGGAAAAAGGGGACTCAACTGTGCCACCTCATACAGAGGAGAACGCCAGCCCAGTTCAGTTTGACATGAAAAGTTCAGTCTCCAAATGAAAACCAACACCAGGTCTGTTTTCTTAAAATAAAGAAATTAACTCCACTTCTTGTATCCAAAAGTAATTTTAAAATACTTACAAATACCTGAGCTAAGCAGCTTTAGCAGCAATTTCTTTCACAGCCACTTACCGCCATGGGACTGGACTCTGAATCGCAGTACGTGAGCAGTTCGTACAGCGTCACCCCAAACGACCAGACGTCCGAGGCGATGTAAAACTTGCTCTGCAGCAGGCACTCTGGAGCGTACCTGCGGGGACAGCATCAACCTTTATTCACAGCTGCACACATCTACTCCTACACATACAACCCCCCCACACATTTAAAGCAAGCAGATTATAGAGGTGCCTCCTGCATTTTTAGCATCCCTTTATACAAATTAATGGCTTGAGATGCCATGAAGTAGTAAATTACAGCAAGTAAAAAGTTACACAGCAAGTGACTGAAACTAAAGGAGACTAAAAACAAAAACAAGACCATGAGAAACTGTATCTTTACATGCAGGAAGAAATAAACAGCACCAGAGTAGATACATATGTATGGTCTACCAGGTGCCTTCCGCTGCTCTGCTGTTGGATCTTTATTTAGACCTCTCAGCAAAACAGGAAGACCCTTCCGGATGCCTAAAAGCCCAAGTCAACAGGAGCAAACGGGTTCCTCTGCTCATAAAGAGAGTTTAGGTTCCTACCAGAAGACTGGGCTGTCAAGGTCGTCCTTGACGGTGTAGTACTCCTTATCGGTCTCGATGGCTTTGGTGAGCCCAAAGTCCCCAATCTTCACTCTGTTCTCGCTTTCAACGAGGACGTTTCTTGCTGCTAGGTCACGGTGCACATACTGACAGGAGCCCAAATAGTCCATTCCCTAAAATAAAACCCAAGAAAGCCTTTTATGCTGCTTTCTCCAATATTTAAGTTGGTTTTGGTCATCAAGCAAGCCTCTCCTCCCCTCCCCTCCCGGCTCTATTAAATTAAATGTTAAATTAATCAAACAGAAGAGTTGCGGGAAGGCTCCGGCACCAGGCTCACCTTGCAGATCTGAACCGCGTATCTGAGAAGTTGTTTGAGGTTGATCTTGTTCTTGTTGCGGGGCAGGTACTCCTTTAGGCTCCCAGAAGGAAGAAATTCCATGATGAGTTTAATCCCACTTCCTCCTAAAAACAGAGCATGTGTTTCATTTGCAGACACCTTCACACATCATTGACACCAATAACTTTTGTACAAGCCCACCTTTGTAATGATATAAAGAGATCTAAAAACCCAGAAGACTGAACAGTATCACCTTTGAAAATGCTCTATTTTTAAAGGAAGACGCTGACACTTTTAGGCTATACTTTTAATATTCTACATGAAGGCTCACCATCTTCTGTGCAAATTCCCTTGTACTTGACGATGTTCTCGTGATAAAGATTCCTCAAGATTTCTATTTCCTTCTTGAGATCAGCGATGTGATTCCCTCCGCTCTCCGGCTTCAGAGATTTAACTGCCACTTGCTCCCCTGTATTGTCGCCTTCTGGGTCGTATCTGCAGAGCTCAACCTTGCCAAAGTGGCCCTGATTGTAAAAAAAAACCAACCAAACAAAAAAAGACATTATTTAACACAACACTCGTGATATTTTGGGTATTTATAATTCGCATGTTCCTGCTGGGACACAGAAGCAGACACAGCCATGTATGTGCACCCACACACGCCTGTCGGTGTCTGTATCTGATGTTGCTCTTACCTCACCCAAATCACGGATTCTCTTCAAGAATCGCTTTTCAAAGAGTGTGGGATCGACCTCTGTGACAGGCTTCTTCTCCGAGACAATATCGGGATCTGGGAGTGGGAAAAAGAAGGTCTTGAACTTTGAGGCATCCTTGTTCGTGTCCAGTTGGTGCATTTCTATCCCTACTGCCACAACTTTTCTTACTTAAATCCTGCCTGCTTCTGGATAGGGAATTCCTTCTTTCCTTCCTTCCTTCCATTTGTACGTGCCAGTCTATCCCGTGCTGATCCTCCTCCCTTAGTGGGTTGCTCACTGGGTCTTCTTCCAGATTCTGATTCCGTTTTCTCCCAAAATATTTCCCACCCTGTAGTAGTTATTCAGCTCCTATGATTATTTATACCAGGTATGGGAAGTCAGGTTTTCCCCCACTACACACTCATCGTCTGTTAGGTGCTCTGTAGTAATTTCAACAGAAAATGACCCAGAAACCAGAGCTGTCTGTGTTAATGCTCTGATTTGGCCAGCAGACTCCTACAGAAATCCTATGAAGCCCAAAGATTGTCTTGAAACTCACTCCAGCTGTTGTATAAAACGCAGACCATCGAATGAACCAGCGGTAACACCAACGCAACTTAAGCCGCACATTCAACACTGGCATCCCATTTGCACACATCCATTAGTTCCAGTGTTGCAGGGACACAAGAAGCTCCTGTCCACACAACCGCACGCGTGAACAGCGCAGCTGTAAGGCGCCCAAATGGAGCAGCCTTCCTCGCCCTCCCTCCTGCCGAGAAGCCAAGCCAGGCCTTACTTTGTTCTTCCAGTTTGTTGATGTCCCTCATGATGGCCCTGAAGAAGGGTCTCTGGTGGGGGTCATAGTTCATGCACTGTTTCATCAGGTCAGCCAGCTCCTTGCACGACGGCGTGGCCAACACAAAATGCCCCTCGTAGAACCTCTCCTTCTGTAAGGCACAAGTGGAAACTCCAGCATTAATTTTAGATTTAACTGAATAAACCCATGCCCTACATCAGATGTGACCATTAGATCCTTAAGTGATCGTGAACTTTCATTTAACTTTGCCAAGGAAATCCTCCTCTTCACCAGTAGCACTAAACCATCTCCTACCAGTAAGAGAGTTACGACTGTGCTGAATCTGGTGTAGTTTGGAGAAACCACTTAGAACACAGGAAATTTCTAAAACATGCTGAAGATTTCACCTTTCAGAAGTCATCGTTCTGCCAGGTTTGCCAGGTTACGTGTGCACCGGGACAAACAGCCGAGTGGAAATACCAAGGAACCAACACAATCCTGGCTGCTCCTCACAACCCCCAAGCAGGTCCCAGATGGGATCAGGGTGGGTTTGTGCATTTGTGAGCTCAGCAGAACGACCCCGGCTGTCTGCCACATGCAGGAAGCAGCCGAAGCAGCAACTTCCTTTCAGGTACCTCCTCTTAAAACAACTTTGGCAGTGATTTAAGTGCTCAGTCATTTCCTTCAGGCCAGCAGCATCTGCCTTGCTCCGTCACCTTCCTAACACAGCAAAACTTCGAGAAGGCACGTTTGGGACATATGGCAGCGCTGAACAGGAACTGCCAGCGGTAAGGCAGAACAAGATTCATTTAAATGGTTTTGAGATTTCAGAGTGAACAAAAATGGTGTCCCACCAATGTCCAAAAAAAACTGAGCAAGGACCCAGAACCTCAGGCAGTTTGTAACTGATCACAGGGGTTAGGAAAGGACAGGTGTGGGAGCACCAGAACGTCTGGTTCACTGTCGCCATGCCAAGTTTTGAAAAGCCCCAAAAAGAGTGAAACAATAATTAGCAATTTTAGTAGTAATCTGCTGCAACCTGCGGCAGTTCAGATGGACCAGGCCCTTACAGGAAAAGCAGCTCTGCTACACTTAATAAACTGAAAGCAACTCAAATTGGGTGTGAAACGAGTGCCAAGGAGGATCCAGCTGAGATGCCAAGGGAAAGTTCACGTAACAGGTTTTACCTCTGCTAACGTCTTGTCCTTCAGCGGTATTTCTCCGTTATAGCAGATTTCCCACAGTGTTGTACCAAAACTCCACTTATCTGCTGCAACGCTTAAATTTTTGGAGTCCTCAACACATTCAGGTGCAATCCAGGGGATTCGCTCAACGCATTCTGAGATAAAACACAAAATCAAAGCATTTTGGAGTGAATATCAAATGACTAAAACCCAGCCTTCTAACTCGATTTTTCCTGTCAAACAGCTGCTTGACTGGACTAGACTGAAGCTCCAGAATTTGTCCAGTTTCAGGAAATCTCCATTCTCAAATGCCTGATCTCACAAGGATGTTTCTTTGGCTTTTGCACGCTCATGCCTTGAGCCATCCAGAAACTGAGACTCCTTCTATATTATTTCACTGGACTTAACATGACTCTTGAAGAGAGATTCATACAATAAGCACCCACCATCAGCAACACTCCTTCACTTCCATGCGATTTTCAGATTCATGGCAGCTCCTTACTTCTATTCTAGAGCCAGATCTAACTGCTATAAATGGTCTTTCTTCCTTTCCCCTTGTCCACCGCACTGAAGAGACACCCGATTCCTGCAGCATACCTTGTCTGGACAGCACAGTGATTGGTATTCCTGGGTCGCTCAGCTTTATGAAAGGCCCATATTCAGTGTCAATTCCCTCTCGTGCCAGTAGGATGTTTTTCGTACACACATTTCCATGTACCAAATCCTTGTCCTCCTACAGGGAGGGAGGAATGAACAGTGAGCGCGGTGAGCTTGCAGTGTGCTGTGAGTGCTCTAATGTACTAATGTATAGGGGATCACTCTAAAACACTCCAAGCTGAAATCCAAAAGTACAGCTTGGGAGAAATTACCCTAGAATCAAACAGGGAAAGGAGGAGCAGGGAAACGTACTGTTCGCACTTAAACATTTATATTTGTAGAGCTGATGCACTTTGGATAAGAGACTGACGTTACATGGCTTTTTCACAAAGAGGGTAACTGCAGGCACACACAGAAACTGGTGGTGAATGCAAGCACATGGCCTGTGCAGCCTGCTGATAAAAAAGGAGCTCATCACCTTTCCTGAGAGTCTTTCTCCTTATTTAAAGCAATATAATAGATACAAAAAGAATATCCCCTACATTGTATGGTCAGGAAAGGAAATTCATCAGTTACTAATGCACGCTGTAGCAGCCATAGGCCACGCTTTTGTCAAGATCCCACCTTACCAAGTAGCTTAGTGCGCTTGCAAGTTGCTTGGCAACTTTGAATTTCCAAGGAGTCGTCAGAACTTCGCTTTTCCGATGCATGAAGAGATCCAGAGGCCCAAATTCCACAAACTCTTCAACCATGATATCTACAAAGTAGGCACACAAAGTCAGCATTGCAGTAACCGGTGTCTGCAGTTATCTCATAGGCCTGCTCCCATCTGCCCCCAGGTGAGGTGGTTTAATACAACTTTAATTCACCTTCCTGTAACTTTCTTTCAGTGTCACAGCCCAAATTAAAAGACTAAGAGTGGTTTTATGGAGTAAATGAGCAGTAAACTTGGAGCAAAGCATTTCAAAGAGCACAGGGCAGAGCCTGCCAGAGGGCTGGTTTGTATTGGCACCACCACTGCCACTCTGCCCTTCCAGCCTCGAGGAATCATCCTGTAAGGCACTTACTCAAAGACGGCACTGCGAGAGGAAACGCATTAGTAAAAAGGACTCTGCAGCTGCCTCGCTGCTCCAACTGCACTTCTGTCTGCATTGACAACTCAAGAGGCAGCAGCTGCTGAGCCCATGTCACCCCGTGCCAGCACCGACGTGAATGGCCGCCCTGTCCCCACCACGGCTGCTGCTCCGGCGTGCTGCCCAGAGAGATTTCACCCAACTCACTTTCGACGTCGCGGACGCAGACGCCATGGAGGAGGACGATGTGCTTGTGAGACACCTGCCTCATCATGCTCGCTGTCTCAAAGAACGCCTGTTAGAAAGCGAGAGGTCAGCCATTAAACTGCTGGTCGTTGTGGGACCCATCCAGGCATTTAACAAACACGAGAGCATCAAGTAATATAAAATTTGCACAAGATCACTGTGTTTTTCAGTAACAGAGGGTCAAGAACGGTAAGGATGTGCCATCCCTGCAGAAATGGGGCAGTGGAGGGCTGTCAGGGATGCGGGGGTGATCATTAGGCCTTCCCGGCACGTACCAGGCCTTGGCATCCCGTGTGACGCATGGGCCTCTCTTACAAGATAATTAAGCAAAATGCAGAACAAGTAACTGCTCGTGGCCATGGCGAGGACAGACCTGCCTGTCTGATGAGATCAGCACTTCCCCATTCCCTTACCGTATACACAACCCCTTTTTTTACAGGCCTTCCAGAGTTAACCACGGGGAGGTGACAGTATTTGTAGTACAACAGTCAAAAAGGAAAACACTTGCCAACGAAATGTCTCTGTGGCTGGGGTCCAGGACTTTGAGGAGGACTTTAATCTCCTTTTCATTTTGATAGCCTTCATTCTCATCGTCTTTGTAGTTGAGGATGCCTGAGTAAATCTGTGTTCTTGTCCCTCTTCCAAGATGTTCGCCCTACGACAGAACACACCACGTATTTATCAAACTAGGACAGGAAGCAACCAGGCATAGAGCTGCACAAATACTTGAATCTGCACTTTATTCTGCCTCTCCAAGTCGAGAGCAGACCTCACCCTCCCCTTGATTGAGCTATACACAGAATTAAAATTGTTACAGGGAGAAACCAATGACAGCGTGCTATTTGCTTTCGTGGTCTCTCTGAGCATACTCACCTCTGTAAACTTACTCTATTTTAAAGGGCTATTACATCTCCATTAGTATCAAACAGGTTCAGTGTGGTTTAACGTTATTAGACCAAACACCAAATGAATAAATAATAACTGGCCTCTTATTTACAATAAGCTGCTACTGAGGCTATCTTTAATGTGTCTTCAAAAATTAGAGGAAGTAATATTTCAATGGAACACTTTGTTTGGGAAAGCAATTTCCTCCTAAATAACAGAGGATTCCGCCTTGGGATATTTTCACAGGAAGCCTGCACGCTGACTGTAAATACCCCAATTAAAAACCAATTAACATCACCTATATCTGTCCTCCCCGGTCAGTGATGCAATTTAACAAAAAACCCAAAACTTTTTATTTAGCTGAAGAAGACGAATGTACGACTGAAGAGCTCAGCTCTTTTCGAAACGCTAAATGTGATTTGTGCGTTCAAGCCACTGTGTGGTTTTTGAAGTTTACTCAGGTCACCTGCATTGCTAACTGCAAACAACTGCCAGAAAATCTGGGTGCTAAATCAGTTTGGAATACAACATTTTGAATGCTAAGACTCTTCAGAGCTTTTGAATACTTCAATCTTTTTTTCTTTCTGTAGGATATTATCTTGAACCTCAAGGTGCCTGCTTCTCTGGTACAGCAGGCTTTAAGATACAGCCACATTTAGTGACAAATCAGCTGGGAAAAACAGCTCTAAAGGCTTTCAGGATTTTTTAAGAATGACCCTAGAAACACCTCTTTCCAGAGTCACATATGCTCAAATATCAATTTGATTTCTAGTGAAAAGCACTAATTCCAAGCTTCTCTTCTTTTTCCATACAAGGACATAGAAACATCTAGATTCTGCAGTAAGAGGCTTTAATACAAATAAAAATTCAAATTAAGTTTTGCTGAGGAGAACTGGGAGCGGAAGAACCAGCCAAAATGGGGTGGTTTTGTATTATCTGATGGGGTGCAGTGGGCTGCCACACTTCTTTGACCACAAAACAC